TAATAATAATAATAATAATAATAATAATAATAATAATAATAATAATAATAATAATAATAATACTAAGAGTATACAGAGATTTTGATGATTTCGTTGATATAATGTGCGCTGTGAACACTAAGGCTTACAGACAGTTCATAAACAACTTATAAATAGTTTATTCAGTTGCCAAAATTTCATTCTTTTCACAAAAACAAAACTTAAGTGCAGCACCTGAAACATGGAACAATAGATTCTTGTAATTGTTGTTACTAAAACATTTAGTGTGAAAACTGTCTGTCAACCGGCCTTAGCAACAGAGGCAGAAAGCGAATGCTCAATATGTCAGTGATAATCGGCTCCACATTAGAAATAATTAAATTAAATTTCTATGACCGCTTCTCATTTCGGGTCGAGGAGGCGCGCCAGACAGTGTTTAAACGTTCCCGACTCTGTGCTAGAGTCTGAGCTTCGGCAGAAGACAATCGGAGTCTAGAGCAGACTCCTTCAATGAACTTGCACGAGAGTAATCTTGGTGTCACATGGGTCTTCTGTCGTTCAGCTGGACAACCAGAAGTTGCTTCGCTTTCCATTCTCGAGCCCAAACTATCGCCGGTGTGACTTCTCATAATAAACAAGTTATTCTACTCAAGTGTCGGTATCACGACATGTGTTCAGGTCGGTGTTACTGTTCTGATAGAACTGAACTTGGCTCAAAATCACAGAATGAAAGGGAGGCAATTATTCGACTGAAGTACTACAGGTCTATGCGCACAATATGAATGGACAATACGAGTCAGTTCTTGAAGTGGCGTGTGCTTTGTAAGAAGTGCCGATAACGGAATCTCTTATTCTAATGGGCGATTTTAATACGCACGTCGGAGTAGACGTTGAAAAGTGGAAAGGCGTGAGTGGAAAAAACAGCCCTAGCGACTTCAACGATAACTGCATGAATTCTAAGCGGTTTTGTGCAAACAACGAAGTATCCATTACGAACACCTTCGAGCATCAAAGTGTATATCAGTATACCTGGTGCAGACAAACTTATGCACATAAGTCCAGGACAATCTGATAGTCGTATCGTCTGACTCACAACGCTCTGTAATGGAAGTTTGCGTTAATAGAGGCGCAGAGCTGTCAAATGATCACCACCTTGATACTGACATGCCAAGCTGTGAGAAATGCAAAAAACCTCGTAGCAGAAGCAACCAGACTATCGAATGGGAAACATTTTCTTCAACCGAGCAGAGAGCGAAACTTGCAAAAAGTATTGCACGAAGGTTTGAACACATCGGCGAGTAAAAATGTAAGCAATGAACTAAGGTAGTACAAAACAATGAGATGCATTTATGCATTGTTGGTGCTAAAAGCTCTGCAGCTCTGGCACCTTGCAAGGGTAATACCATAAAATGGAAACCAGATTTGATAAAGCTGCGCTTAATAAGTAATCAAATAAGTCATTAGCTACTAAACAAAGAAATAAATATGCAAATAGCGATCAGCAAGTAAGAAAATAACCAAGGATCCGGGTAAGTAAACAAATTGGGGAATAGATAAACATAAGCAGATGAATAAAAGAAGAAACAAGCCTTCTAAATAATTGTTAAATCCGTTTAGGATTCTGGAATAGGAATAAGGAATCTTCGAGATCATGGTTGATGGATGAACAGTCAAATCTTTGTACAAAGATGTTATACACTTTTTAGCACTGAAGCGCATTGCTGAACAACACAACATCATTGTTTGGTGGGTATCTATTGGCAGTGGGTTCAAATCATGAACCAATAACTGAAGATTGTAAATACTTCAGCTACAGCACGTAAAGACAATCATTCACCTTCCAGGACATTAGCTAAACAATAACACAGAAAAGAAAACAGTGCAGTACTAAATAAAAGAAATAAATTTGCACTGGAAGGTGAAAATCTACTTGAAAATGACTTTTAATTAATTAGGTAGTTGACATGCTCAATATGGAATCAAGAACACAGGCAATCTGTATTTAGCTGTCAAGCTCACTTTTCAAGATTCGCTGGCTGGCACAAACACACAATCATAAATATTGATTGAAATGAATACGAAATGAGTCCTCCATTGTAACATTAGATTATTCCGAACACCAAGTTCTCCAAGTCTCTGCCTTTCTCAATCATGGAATTGCACCGATAACTGTGGAGATATGCTGCAACTGAGGCAAATTCTACTCAGTCTAGAAATAATAGGTCATTCTATTCGCAGACGTTGACAAATCCGTCTTGCTATTACAATCTTAGTCTAGGATAGTACCAAGAAAGTAGAAGGCGACTTGCTGCAGCTCAGTACAATCCAGTATAACTCATTGATTGTTACTGGTTATTGGATCATGTACGCCTTCCTCAGACTTCAGACTTTTCGATCTGAAAAAAGCTGAGGTACGTTTCAAGAGCTGGCTGTCAAGAACAGCTTTGTGTTAAATAAAAGACAATACATACAACGTAGAAATCAACGGACCAATTAGTCTGCCCATACTCTGGAGGTTCTAGGACAATAATCCCCCGGACAATATCTCCCTCCTCCCAGAAAAAAACCCTCCGTGGACAAAAACCGTTTGAAGAATAGTTTTCCCACTCATCATCAAAAGGAATCTTGTTGACTTCTAGTCTTGTATGTCAAAGGTATTTCAACCGATTATGGAAATTTGTAAAATCGAATAAAGGAAAACAGAAAGATATGAAGAGTATAAATAATCATTCTCATGGTGCACACCCTGCTCAAAAATTAATTCTCACAAGAATTTTTTTGGGGGGGATGGGGCGGGTTGTCAGGGGATTTTATCCATGAGGGGTTCTTGTCCGATTACCACTCTGGAGGTCCATTGCATCGACCAAAGTTTTTAAGCCTTATTATGTGACACTTTAATTCTCTTGATTATCTTGAGGGTAAAATCTGCTGAATGATAGCAGGCAACCGTGGAATTACAGCAATTACTATAAGAGAATTATGAAGGAAACGTTGCTTAGCACGTTATCAATCTGATAAAGCGTTTTCTGTGTACATTACTGTTAAAAGACTCATTTCCAAAAGAAACATAATGTAGACGTGCCTGTGGAACAACGCCAATATGGCGCCGCAAACTGTCCAACGTGACGTCACGGGTATTCAATCCGTTGATCAATATGCGTCCCTTTTTCGGGTCAAAAAATCGAAACAATAAACGCACCAAAGTCGATTTCCCACTTCCGCTGCCTCCAACTATTGCAATTTTGCGACCAGCGGGGACCGTAAGCGTAAGGCCTTTCAAAATGTACTGCTCTGGTAGGTATCCAAACCAGATATTCTCGAAACTAATGGTGCATTCTTCAGGGGTAAGATCTAGCACCGCAGCAGATGGCTTCTCCTAGAAGAAAAATATATACAGCTTCGAAAGAATGAACTGAAAAGTTTAAAGTGTCGTCATCGAACAGAAGGCAAAACAATGCACCCATCATGATAAGAACAGAACTACGGAGATGTACCTTTACAGAACCTTCAAGGGCCAACAAGCTGAACATTGCTTGCATGTCAATTAGACCTTGGCGGACTTCTCTGTAGACACTGCCCAAAAAGTTTAGAGGCATACTCAGTTGCATCAACAAGCCGTTGACCATCACCATATCTCCCACTGTCATCGTTCCTAA